ACACACACACACACACTATATATATGTGTATATATCCCATGGGAAAGCAGATATACATCCCATGGTCATTTGGGGTGCAGTGATGTTGGGGAAGTAGAGATGTGTAGAATGCTCATATTTGTTTTTGATTTAGAGGTAATCACTGATATATTATTCGGCATGCAGGTGGTAGTATTACTCAAGCTTGGACATCTAAATGCACACATATGGTTGTTGATGACTTCACTTCTCTGACTGATGAGATAATTGATGCAGTAGTTGCCGGCATACCCCTTGTCACATTTAGATGGATAGAGGTATATCTGCAACCATAATCTTCATATATGTAATGGAGCCCCGTCCTCATATGCACTCAATCCACACCATATTCACACATTCCCTTGTGATGATGTCATATATGTTGTGCTTATTGTTCATGAACAAGGCTATAAGCTGCATTTTCTGCATAACTATCACAAAGTCCTGAAAAATATTTTAGTAACTTTTTCTTTTTGTTTCTCATTTGGATATGGAACTTCTGCTAATGTTTTTGCACGAGGTATCCAAGCCATGGGTGTTTATATATGTTACGAAGGAAAATGTGAAGGTTGGCTAGCTAAGATAAATAATTCAAGTCCAGACATTCTTTTTGATGGTTTACCATATGATTAGCATATGTGTGCTATCAAAGTTCACAACTTCAGATATAATTGAAAGATTAATTATTGCTTTTTATCTATGATTGTCTCTGTGTGTGAGTGTGTGCTTCGTTGCTTCTATCTGTAGTTATTGTTGGTTTTCTTGCAAGATCTTTTGTATATGCACAATTCTAGGTCTTAAAATTTTTTCACATTGACAGGGAATGTTTCATTTGGCTTTTCAGTGTCACATATTTAGTTAATAACTGGTGATCATTATTCAGGTAATAGGAGGAAAATCTATATGCACTGAAATTCCTAGCTGTGCCCCGTGAGTATTTTCTTCCTTGAGGTCACTATAACAACTTGTAATGACACTTTTCTGGAGGTCTGTCTTTTATGGTTTGGTTTATAGATTATTGCATTTCCATATCAGGCATGCTCCAAGTTTATCATTAGATGGGGTATCTCTTAAAGTTGCGGATCCACAATCTCGAGAACAGTGTCTGAAAGGCTACACTTTTCTATTGGTATCCATACAGAAGGTAAACACTTAAGAATTTTTCAGATTTCTTGAAAACTAGTGTCGTTTCTTTGCATTAATTTATATTTGTGTCCACGCACATACACATGTAGTCTTGTAAATACGAGCAAACCACATCACACTAGTCCTGATATTTGTATACACCACAGTTGGCAGTCATAGCTGCATGGTATATCTGCTGGACAGTGATGGTTGAAATGGCTCTCTATTGGGATACAAATTGTTAAATGTTGACAGTTTGATTGATATACTACAAATAAGCGTTTGCTTAGAGCCTTTTTTCTGGAATGTTTCCTTTGAAAAAAAAAAGTGGTCGTCGTTAGTTCATTAGTTCATTTTCTTGTTCTCTTAGGAAAATCAATCCCTTTGCTTGGTTTCATTTCTATTTTCGTCCCTCTTTTCCTATTCATTTTCATCATGAACATCCATTTGTTTCGCTCATCTTATCATCTTGTTCCCCTCCTCATTCAAAGACTGCATTTATATTTCTTTATTTTCTTTCCAAACCTACACCCGGTTCATTCCAAGTACATCCCATTCATGGGAACAAGTTTCTCTCATTGAGCACACTTATTTTACTTGTTCTCTTAGGAAAATACTTCTTTACGCTTGGGTTCATTTCCATCTCTATCCCTCTTTTTTTATCCATTTCCATTATGAACATCTGCTTGTTTTGCTCATCTTATCATATAGTTCTCTCCCAATATTTTGAAAAGCCTCCACAATCTTCACAGAATATATTCATTTCTTGATTTCTTTCCAAACCTACACCATCTTTCCAAATGCATCCTACTCCTGGGAACTAGCTTTTATTTCTCATATAGCACTCTTTATTTACATTGACAACTAGTTTGGGAAACACATTTTCTGAAAGTGAAAAGTTAATCCAATCTGCCACTTAACCCAAATTTTGTTAATTAAGATGCACATTCTTGTATCTTGTTCACACATTCCTCGATGAATATTCTAGAAGCACTTTAGCAAAGTGGAAATGAAATAAGAAATAGATTTGACTTGTATTTGGGTTTCAGTTTCTTTTAATTTGCCTATTTGACAAAATGAATAATTTTATGCATTGACACGCCTAACACCCATATGCCTAAGAACCATGTAATGACTTTGATAATAAGACTTTAATTATTTATTAGCCTATTGCTGCTTTTGCATTTATGACATTGCATAAGATCTTCGAGAGTTGTGAAAACATAGGAATCATCACACACGCACTCTCATCCCTCGCTTTCCTTCCATTTTTTTTATTTGTGGCAGTATAAGTTCAAGGAAAAGTTGCAGTTGCTGTTGGAATCAGGAGGTGCAAAAGCTGTTTCTGTTGAAACTCATGATTTGTGTAGCCAAGTATGTCATCTGTATCTTCTTCGTTACATTTAAGACAGAGAAACCTATAAAATACATCAGCAAATAAGTTCTCGAGGACATAAAAAAAAAAAATCCAGATTTTCAGAAAATAATTAGTACCATGAGAAAATAATTTCAAACTTTTGTCACTTACCGAATAAAGGTGAAAAGCTTTCTAAATGTGAGGAAAACCAATCCCTGAAAGCAAAAATTATATATTATCATCATAAAGCCTCAGTATAAAACTATAAACGAAAGGTCCTTTACTTTTGATCAGGCGATTTGCCCGATGCCATTTGCTAGTTTCACAAAGTCATCAATTACAGCATATGTTTTTATCTGAACTCCTGTATTGATCGCTTGCCTTGTCATTAACTAACTGGATGTTGTGATTGTTGTCTTCTTAGAGCACAGGAGAAAAATTAGTGCGTGTCATGCCAGCTGGATCGACAGTCAGCACCGGAAGCTTTAAGAAGTTCAGTTTTCTGCCAATGGTGAATGAGATGGAACTAATTTCAGCCATCTTTTCTGGACACCTGGATCCTTCAGTTATGTCATCAGGACCTGGTAAAATGCTTTGTGCCATACCATACCAGATTAGATCGCTACATAATTTACTTTTATGATTTATTAAGAAATTTATTTATTTATTTTCGGTGTTTTCTTGGCAGTCCTGGTTACATCATCATGCTCCACGGATGAGACGGACGAGACTGTGGTGGCAGATTCTGACGTTGAAAACGAAACTTCCACATCAGCACACAAGTCCCTCGTATTTAATTTAACAGAATCTGCTGAAGACGAGTGCACGAAGAATATAAAAATCTGCAAAACAGAATTTTCCAAAGAAGTTTCTGCATCACAAAACGTTGTTCACATTGTAGAATCTTCTGAGCATGACAGTGCAGGGAATACAGCTGCATTGAAAACCACTGAACACGAGAGCCAAAGATTTCATCCTCTTACTCGAGTTACTCTAAAACCAGATGATAGTCCTCCCCAGACTACTGTCGTCAAATCTGACGGTGAATATATCACATCATCAAGAAACAGAGATGAAGGTATTGCGGCAAGAAAGGATATATCTGAAAGTGATAATAATATCGATATAATTTATAGCCAAGATCTAATTGTTCGACGCACTACTAAAACACAACCTGAACATTCGTCGAGCAAAGGTGTAGCAGTTAACTTCAAACGTTTCAGGAAGGTAATGATGACTTCAAAAGTGCTTTCTAATTTTAACAACAGTAACATGAAATAATATTAAGAAAAATGTTTGACTCCTACCCATGCATGTATGCTCAGAACATAAGTTTACTTGTAGTTTCCTTTTTTTTCTTTTTTTCGTTGATTTATTATATGTCAAGTGATTTGGATGTTTTTTACTAGATGGATGTTCCATCCGGGAACAGCTTCCACAGTTTTATTCCTTTCGCGAAGAACCCGTACGAGTAAGATTCATTTCTCTTCTCCTCTTTCGTCTCTGTAATATTACTCAAAGTTAAGGAAAAAAAAAAAGTTTGCATCTTTACACTCGTTTTACATTTCTTAGAGAGTCCGACTATGGGAATGAAGACGTGGCCGAATCTATTAAAGAGGAGAAAAAGCGTAAACGGATGGAAGCCATTGCAGACGACTTGTTTAACAATGAGAAGGTCCGTATGCAGCACCTATATAGCATGTTTTCGAAAAACTTCATAATTCCTAAATAAGCCCAAATTAATATTTACCCAAAATTTGTTAATGTGATCCAGGGGAGAAGGCGTGCTGCATCTGGTTCTCTTCACGGGCTTTTTGCTCGTGGTTAGTGAAGAGGTAATCTGATTTTAAGAACCCTAAAAGCATGCAATTAAGCTAGTGTTAATTTTATAAAATGTCACATGTTGATGCATATTTTTGGGTTTAAGCATATCTCAATATCATTCTAAGAAATAATATATACAATGCTGCTGCTGCTGCTTGACACCACAAATTTTTGGTCAATTATCAATATATATATATATAATTTTTTAACATATAATATATGTTAACCTAATATTGTGGACTTGTCTTAAGATACTTGTACAAAAGGCAGATGAAGACTTTTCAAGTTATTATGGGGTAATTAGGTGAGATAACATTTGGATAATTTGACATCTTTACTCGTACTAAATTTACTAAATAGTTTGATCTTAATTAGGGATTTGCATTATTATAAGTTTGGAGTACTTATCACATCTTTTTGGGAATGTCAATAGTTTGGAGTAGCAAACTGGGTTCGCAGAGGCTCCAAATACGATCGATCTTGATCGTTAATATAGCATAACATAGTTGAATAAACTCCAAACTCGATCGATAACGAATGAGTTAAGGCTCGACTTTCAACTGTAGTAAGACATGGTGGGAGGAAGTACAATTAATCAAAACCATAAGATGAGCATGATTGGATATAAAATATCAGGTTATATGACTTGTCAGATGATTTTTTAAAATCAAAATTCAACTCAAATTTAACTCAATTCAGCTCTCCTTGATATTATCAATATAGTTAAATAATATGAAATCAATCATTCTCACACATCACACTATTGACTTATCAGATGTTTTAAATATTCTTTAACTAAAGCTTGAAATCAAACTCAATCAAGTTTCACAAAAATTAATCACTTTAACCAATAAATTCAATTTAAATCCAAAATAATTCATAGTCACATGTATACCCCTTCAATCACAGTCCCTTCGAGGACATCCGATAAAATTGAAACGATACAGAGAAGATTAGCATGACTCATGCGCAAGGATGACACGCATAAATCGAGAAATGGTCCCTTCAATCACATACTAGTGAAGCCTAAAAAACGCCCACAAAAGTATCTCAACTTGGTATTTGTTGTCATGCTCTCCATTGGCGTGTGCTTTTGAATAAAAGCAAACAATGTCTAGAAACCGAACTTAGTATAAGACAAAAAAAGGACACGCAAAGTGTAAACACGCTTTATTAGCGTCAACAGCGTGCCTCAAAAGTCGTAAAAGTTTTTAGCGACATCAACGTCAAAAGGCTCCGATTTTCAAATTATTAACACTGTTTTACCGAGTCCGAGTTAATGACGACGCGCTCATAGCACGACTTTGGTAGTTAAACTGCCATTATTTAATTTCGGAATAAAGGGTCCGATTTGTATATAAGATTATCCAAAAAAAAAAAAAAAAAAATTATATCTCGAAAAACTTTTTTTATAAAAATGGAGATAAATATAAAATGAGAAAATGGATATAAAATAAAAAAAAATTACAATGACGAAAGTAATGGGATAAAAAATAATTGCATATTAAATGCTAAGATTGATAGTTAAAAATAAATAAGTGGATGACTAGTAATTTTTTATTAAAAAAATATTTAGTAACTAGTTTTCATTTTTTTTATTGTATTTGAGATTTGTAGAGAAAAAGTAAGATGGAATAAATAGTATTTGTATTGCAAAATTTTATTATTTTATTTTCAGTTTCAATGAGATAAAAATATTGGCTGAACAACATATGTAAAGGGTTTATGTAAAATGCGAAAAAATAAAATTCAAACAATTTTCTCAGCAAATTTGGACAACTGACTAAATTTTTAATTTATTTTTTTTATGAACCGAGAGATATCTTCACATTCATTCCTAGACTTCACCACGAACTGCTAGCCCTCGTGGAGTATGGGCCTAACAGCCTAAGGGATCCACACACAGAGGCATGAGACTAATCCTTCCAAGAGTAATAGAGTGCTCCATCTCCATTCCTCACAATAGTCAGGATCGAACACCTGACTTTTAACTTCAACAAGGCCTTATCCCTCCACCAGCAACCAAGTACCTTGAGGCACTGGGAGTCACAAGTGAATTACTATTACTCGATGAAAAAATGTAACATAAAATAGATCCTTAATTCAAATCAATTGACATGTTAAAATATATGACTAAAAAATCACTCGATTTTTATTTAATTTCAATCTTCAATATTATCAATGTAATCATATAATATCAATCAATCGTTATTAGATATCAAATCGACTTTAAATCACTATTTATCAGTTCGTATGCTTTAACTAATCATCAGTTCACATCATATCACTCCTACTTTTACACCAAATCAACTTTAACTATTTTATTTCAAAAATAATTTTAATATAAATTCAAAATTTGGAAAACAATTAACCCTAACATATTTTTACATATTTTTTTAAATTTGACTCTAGTTAGCCAAAAAATTAGTCGACTGCCGCATATATATTTGTATACAAAGTATAGATCATTCAAAGTTTTATAACAATACCCACAGATATTTATTTTTTCTCTAACATATGCCTTGATAATTCACCCAAAAGATATTTGTTTGATTGGACCTTCCTCAACTGTTACGTTTAAAATAATCCTAATTTTATAACACTTGAAAATAATTACGAAACCATTCTGTCGGGATTGTAACCGTTAAATCATCATATAACAGTTAGAGATAGTTGATTTAACGGTTACGAACCCCGACAGAACAGTTCCGTAACGGGACCGTTAGCCTCTCCCCCCTTTATAATATTCCATTTGTTAGTTGTTACATATATATAAGAAATTAGGAACTCCCAAGACGGTGACCCATCACCCTCTTCCACTCTTAATATTAAAAAAATAAAATAAAAAATAAAAAGTCAAAAAATACGAAACTTCATCAGCATCAACTAAAACAAAAACCACGAGACTTTTTACACGCATGCACACTTTCAAACCTTTCTTTATATAAACCCAACACCATAACAAACCCCCTTCACCAAAACACCATTTCCTGTTATTAACAAAAAAAAAAAAATGGCAGATGTCCAAAAAGTTCACCCGGTGGCCCACGACCCGGAGGCTCCTCCTCCCCCCGAGCCCAACTCCAAGCCCACCGCCCCCCTCGTCCCCCGCGGCTCTTCCCGGTCGGAATCGGGTGACCCGGCCCGTACCCGTCCTCCCCCGACTGGCCCGGCCCACCGCACTATCCCTTACGCCCCCATGAAACCCCCCAAGAGACGAGGCTCTTGCTGCAAGAGGTGCCTCTGCTGGTCCACTTGCCTCATCCTCCTCCTCGTAGTCCTCGCCGGAGCCGCCGCCGGCGTCCTCTACCTCGTTTTCCGGCCACACCTCCCGAGCTACTCGGTCGACTCCATGCGGATCTCCCGACTCGACCTCGGGCCCGACAACACCCTGTCATCGGGCTTCGACGTCAACATCACGGCCCGAAACCCGAACCGGAGGATCGGAATCCACTACGAAGGCGGGAGCCGGCTCAGCGTGCTGTACCGTGAGACGACGCTTTGCGAGGGCTCGCTGCCTCGGTTTTACCAGGGTCACCGGAACACGACCCGGCTCGGGATCCGGATGGCTGGCCGGACGGCTGATGCAGCCGGGCTTCTTGGGTCGATTCAGGCGGAGACGGGTGGAGTGCCGCTAGTCCTCCGTGGGCGAGTTCCGGTGAGAGTGGAGATCGGGAGTTTGAGGCTGTGGGAGTGGAGGTTTAGGGTGAGGTGCAGGCTCACGGTAAACAGGGTGGAGGCGAATAATGATGTGAGGATTAGGGATAGTAGGTGTAGGTTTAGGTTCAGGTTTTGATTTTTTTTTTTGGTTGTTTATTGATATATATTGTTATTACTTTGTTTGTTTGTTATTATTTGTGGGGGATGAGATTTTGTTATATACTGAGCGAGCATAAGATGGAGGGCTAGTTTATATTGGTTTGCTCTCCACATACTGTTATTGAGATTAGTATTCTATGTTATATTATTTACACTTTATTTTACATTACAGTCTCGTTACGATATGATTTCGTTCTTTTAATATTAATCGTTGGATTTTCACGGTTATTATTGTATATGACAACTGACATTCAGACAGGTTACGATGATTGATTGTGTTTTAATGTTTAAGAACAAGCGGACACCATTTGTTCTCGATAGTACTGACAAACTTTTAGGATATATGCATTCAAGAATGAGAGCAATGTTCTATAGAGACTGAAAAGAAAGTTTAACATACTTATGAAAGCTACTACTTCCGAAAGATTCTTCCTCACCACCAACCACATCCGACGTGCCCCTCCTCACTGTAACATACTTATGAAAGCTCGGCTCCATCAAATCGTCCTTAGCTGAAACCTCCGACTCAAGACTCGGGTCCTTGGCCTTTGCGGGCCTCATCTTCTTGAAATTATGTGTCTGGTCGGGAAAAGGCGCGTTTGAGGACAAGTTGGAGCCCGTGCTGGAATTGAGGTCCGCAACAGCCTCGAGAATCGAGCAGGCCTTGGCCACGCAAGGCGGGAGAGAGAAGGCTGGCTCGGGAGAGTGATTGTTCTTTTGGTGGAAGTTTTGGATGTCTTCTAGAAGGAGGGCTGTGTAAGTTGATGTGTTGTTGTTGTTGTTTTTGGGGTTTGTGGGTAGGATTAGAGTTTCGGGGTTGATCGCGTCGAGGTCTCGGGATAGGCGGGAGGATCGAGATCGGGCAAGAGGTTGGACTGTTTTGCTGTCGGTTTTCGGCTTCTGGACGGGAGCCTGCAGAGATGCAAGATTAATTAGTGATACAAAAACTATCTGATTAATGTTGAAGTTCAAAATGCAGGTCCAGCTCTGTAACTAATGTTGAAGGATATTTAATATACCTGTTGGATAATGTTGGTGTCAATCTCAGCAAGTGGGTTTCTTCTGCAAGGGGAATGCTTTGCCTTCCTTGAAATGCTCCGGCTAAGCGAGATTATCTGCTGGTTGGTTCCTGAATTCGTATTCTGAACCCTCGTCCTTGCCGGAGACCTAGCGCGTGGAGACACATTCCTCTTCACTTGGATCCTTTTATCAGCAACGCCGGTGGCTGCACAAGCCTCAACTCCGGCAGCATTCTGGCTTTTGTTTATAGCCGCGGAGGATACAGTGGCCGGTACTGAGACCATTTTCCTGGGCCTGGAACTGGCGGCAGACGAGTGGGAATTCGAATTGAGATTTGTGGCTGAGGCAGACGGAGATTCAGATCTCCTCCCCGGAGATCGGCTCACCCTCCGCCCGCCGCCTCTCTCTCTGCTTCCGGAGAGCTGCTTCTGGTCCCTGTCGCTGTCCCTCTCTCTGCTTGGGGTCCTCCGCCATCCCTGGGAATGGCGGCGCCGCTCGCTCCAGCGGTCCTCCCTCTCCCCTGCCGCCGCGTCCCCGCCGTCGGGGGCGACGGCACCTCCCTCCCCGTCGAAATCGTGGCTCCTCTTCGAGCCGGAGTACTTCCTCCCCCCGCCGTCCTCCTGCGGAAAGGCGGCGGCTTTCGCGGTGGAGGAGCTCCGGCTGAGCCGGCCGCACTGTATCAATATGGCGTCCACCTCCGCCATGGTGCAGCTCGACGTCCTCACGGGAGCCGCCGCCGCCACAGCCACGACGGCGACATTCCCGTCCGGAACCTCATTAGAAATGACGACTGTGCTCTTCTCGGCGTCGGACTTCTCATTTTCGCCATTTTCCTCGCCGGCCGGCGACCCCTGCTGCCGGGGCCGCCGGTCGATCTCGTTGCTGTCCCGGTGTTTGATTATAAAGATCTCATTTTCAACTACCTTTTCCTTTTTCTCCAACTGGGGCTCGGACTTCTTAAGGTTGGCACAATCAACACTTTTCTTGCTCAAACAGCTTCCCATTTCTTCTTCTTCTTTTTTTTTTTCCGGCAATTCAGGTCGGCGGTATGGGGAAATAAAATGGCAACAAAATGAAATCACAGTGGAAATTGAAAATCAAAGGGGGACCAAAAGGCACAAAAAGGTATATACACACACACACCGCAGAATTCAAGAAAACCACTCAATTAATTTTTCAAATTTGGATAGGAGGGTAACAATGTAGCCGTAGCAAAACAGTGTTTTCAAACTCAACCAAAGTAATCAAAAAAATTTAAGTAAGTTTGAATAATTTGTTAAATTATAAATAATCGACTATTTCATTTATCTACAAATTAATATAAACTCGTAAGTTATGAATAATTACTTATACAGACCGAGATTTTAATATTGTTCGTTGTTTTTAAGAAAAAAAAAATAGAAATAAAAACATCCACACTTAATGGATTTTAACCAAAATTTTTAAATAATAAAATGAACTAAAAACCCGAAATTTAAGACAACCATTTAATGTTATATTATTTTTTAAAGAAAAAAAAAACAATAAAATTTACCATTTATGGGTTGCATTAAATTTTGCTATATTACATATATAGATGTCCAATATTTACTTATAATAAAATGTAAATTATGTACTACTAACAATCAAAACTTATTTATAATTTATGAAATTGACATTATACTAATTCAGATTCCTGACAAATACTGGAGTACATGTCCATTAAACTATGAGCAGGTCCCCAAAAAAAAAAAAATCAGTAATAATACCCATTCAGTACATATCTATTAATAGCCGATTAAAACAGCCTATTTGCCAGCAAACTGGCCACTCTTCACCAACAACAACAACAACATACCCTGTATATTCCCGGCTACTCCTGAACAGTGCAAATTTTAATTTCTTGATTCCATTTTTTTTTTAAAAAATATCAATAAGAATTTCCTCAAAATCGACAAAACACTAATGGGTGAAAAATGCAGGGACACACAGTTTCTACACAAAGTAATTTTACAGGAAATCACGAATGTTCAGGTGCCAAAGTTCAGGTGTTTGGCACGTAAAGTTTCTCAGTAGGAGCTGCAACATATGCAACTCAGCTACAGTGACACCAAGGAATTAAATGTAAACAACAATACCACAATTTCTTTTCAACAGAAAGTTCATCCTCTCGGCATGTTTCGATTATCCCCAAAATGCATGCTCTCACGTAAGGGCAGAAATAAATTTCAAGATCCTTGACTGAGCCCTTTCCTTCTCTTCTGGTCCATCAAGATCACCAATGTTGTCATGATATTCCTGTGAATCACCCAAAAAAAAAGACCATATTATATGTCTAATTTTTCAACTAACTGAACAACACCAAAAATTGGAACAATGTACATCCTGATCATCTATTAATAAAAGGATTACATAAAACATTCTTTTAACATCTCTTGAGTTTGATTTTCTTTTTTTTTTTTTAACGGCAGTACTGTAAAACTGTGTGTGCACATGATTTTTCCTCGGTTACGGTATAATTATCAAATGATCTTGTGTAGATGGGATTATTAGGCTTGCTTGGATATAAGTTTTTTTGGTTAACCAGGGTTAATTTAAAAAAAAATGGTTGGGCTAGGTTTGAGTGGGGTTTTGAGTTTGTATTAAAATAATATTTAGAATAAAATAATTAGTTTCTCACTAGGATCACTTATTTCCAATGTACGGTTAAACTGAATTATCATATTCCTCCCTTACACTGCAAAAAGAGAGAGCTGTTAATAATATAAATAGAACAATGAAGTTATCAATCCCTCATATGACAAATGGGCTACAGAGTGGGCTAAAATGTGAGCACTAGGATTGCCAGTTTGCCATTGTTTTTGTCTCTTTAAGAGGAGTTGCACAAGAAAAACAAAGAGAGGTAAAGTCCAAGTTGCTGCAAATTCATAATAACAGGCTTAAATACCTGAAGTATATCTTTAACATCAGTCTTAGTCAGCTTTTGCTGCTTTAACAACAGTTCAATTCTTGCTCTCATACGGGAGTGCCTACCAAAGAAAAATCACCACCACATATTAGAACCCAAATGACCAGAAAACGGCTACCTCCGATATCAGCCCATCATGGAATGATAAATAGGATATGAAACTTACTCAGAGGTCCAAAGATGACCCAGAATAACAGCAATTAACTGCAGAAATGCAGAATCAGTCAACCAATAAAACTGAATATAGATGCTTATAACAAAGAAGATTCACGAGCAGTCAAAGTACCTGAAGAGTATAAAGTCCAGAGTCCAGCTTCCGGCTATATTTCTCATCTTCGTCAATCTGAGACAAAAATAAAGATAAATTGTGGATCAGCATGAGGCAGCTTATTTTGCTGAAGTTTAGAAAAAAGGCAGTTAATAATGGAAAAGAAAAACTTAGACATCAGTTTACCTCCAAATCATCAAATTCAAGCTGACTAAGCCGTTCAGTCTCTGCCTTCACTCTATCGGAATATCTAAAAAATATAGCAGACAAAATAAGAATCAGACCCAACAACAGCCTCAATGAAACAGATATTCAAAATTCAAAGCAGACGAATGGGTAATTGTCAACAACCGTTGTACACTTCTATACAAGTACAAACCTCATGTATAGCTCCATAAGTCGGTCTATCTTTTCACATTCATTCTCTACAAATTTACTCAACAACCTTTCCCTTCTTGAACCCCTTAATATTCCACCTGGTTCGCAACAGAATTACAGAACAAAGATCAATAGAATCACGTTATAGTGGAAGCGGAAAAATGCAACCACACACCAATTACATGATATCAGCAGTTTCAGAGACTGGGGAAAGCAAAACATCACATGACAAATATGGAAAAAGAACAGAAACATTCAAGGTCATAAACTCTTTTGGAAAAAGAACAGAAACATTCAAGGTCATGAACACATGCAAGAATACTGACTCTACCACGAACAGCAACAAATAACAATGCCACCCAACACACACAGAGGCTACCTAATACACACACACACAAAAAAAAAACTTGTGCTAGTGAAAGACCTTGAGTAGAGACACAAGTTGGTAAGTATAATTGTATAGTTCGAAGCCGGGAAACAGAAAGGCAGCAGAACTGATCTCAAGCATATTACACTCTGCGGCAAGAAATAAAAATAAACGAATCTAAAACGTGCTGTTTCTGGATAACAATAATTTGAATTTAGGGGCCGCACTGAGTTACATGACATAACAGGCAATAGCACAATACTATAAACTACACTAGTTACAGAGGGGAATAGCAGAATAAGGCAAAAGATGGCACAAAGCACGACATAAGCATGAGTTATAAACTTAGTTTAAGTTACACTTACCCTTACCCTTATCAAACATGATAGATAATTCGACAATATAAAAATAGGATAGTGCCGCACGGGCAAAACATGATAACATGCACTATCATTTGTAGATGAGATCAAATATTATGTAAGTAATGTAATCCCTAAAGGAACTTGCCTTCTTACCAAATAGTGATGCAATTAGCGATATGAGACGTTCTTCGAGTTCTTCTTTGTAGTGTTTTTTCTTGTTCTTCTTACTTAAAGGTATCTGAACAGAAGAATCAAAAGATACAAAAAAGTTAGACACAAGGGTCGAGAGCATATCAAGGATAGATCATACTAGTACCAACAAAAATGAATAGTCATTTTTCATAAAGCATAATTCTAGTATAATTTATGACATGTGTAAAATAACACAGCCAAAACCACAAAACATGAAAACCGGATGGCCTGCACTGCCATTATTTCATTAAATTTGTAAGTTAGCTCCATACTTCAACAACATTCTACTCATGCTCAACTAATTGTCTCTTTCACATATCGGATGAACCAGAAGGGGCATGTAACTGAATACAAAGAAATCACAAGTGACCCAGTAAAGAACAAGCATTCAAACATTAATTACTCTGGCACCAGATAAGTGTAAGGGGATCAAACTTGCCTTACCCATAAAAGCAGGGAAAGCGGTCTTCAATCCCATCACGTCAATAAACCTTTCGCACGCAGGAGGATAATTAGTCATGGCAAAGTCCAGAGCCCTGATTGCAGAGCCATAGCAGGATTTCTTCTGGTTCATAATAATAATCATCAGCTCAACTCCTTCCGCCTTCACAAACCTCTCCTTGTTCTCGAGTGGCATCAGCAAGCAACAGAGACAGTCGAATAGATTTTCCACCATCTCCTCCTCATCTCCAGTCTTTGGGTCCTTAGACTTGTACATTGCCACAGCCTGCAGCAAGGTGTCCACGCCATTCATTTGGCCGAACCTCTTCTGATTGGCAGCACTGTTCTGCAGCAAAATGGCCAGAATTTCGGAAGCGTACTGCTTGTTACTGTCAAACTCGCGTACTTTGATCCGGGCTTGGAGCCATTTCAGCAATTTGGTCTTCTCAGACACGAGCTCGGACACTGAAGGCTTGACCTCGATGAGGTTCTCGATGGTGGACAGCGTGTTGTAGATGGCAGCGGACTCGTCGGGGTCGGAATCGTTAAGTCGGGCCAGGTTCTGCACGAGCAGCTCCACTGCGTTATTCTCTATGAGCGCGTCGACGAGAACCTGCGCGGACTCGTCGTTGTCCTCGACGACGTCAGCATCAGTGAGGTCCTGCAGGAGCGTGACGGCGTCGATGGCGATGTCGGCGTTGTCGTGGTTGAGAAGACCAGTGATAGAGTTGACGGTGCCGAGGGCGACGAGGTCGGGGTAGAGCTCAGGGGCGCCGGCGAGGATCTTGAGCTTCTGGAGCTCTTCGTGGAGCTCGAGCTCGGAGTCGGCGAACTTGTCCGGGTTGTCGGGGTACCTGAGGCGGGCGGCGGTGTTAGCGTTGAGGCGGCGCTCGAGGGAGAGGGCGAGCTTCTTTAGGGTTTTGAGGTCTAGGGTCTCGATGGGGTTCTGCTGGGATTTCTCTAGGGCTTCGAGGAGGGAGAGGTCGATGGGCGCAGAGGATGGTGGAAGTGGCGCCGGCGCCGGCGGAGGAGAGGCGGAGCGCTTTCGTTTCTGAGGAGGAGGGAGGTCCATTATGTCGCCGTTTCGTTAGGCTTTGCTTTTCCGAGCAAATATTGAGAGTGAAAGATCAAAATCCAAATAATGGGCCTCGAAAGTTTGATAAATGAAAGTAAACTATGGGGATATTGAGTTATAGCTTATTAGTTATTTTTAATCTCGTGTCTTATAATTTATAGCTAAAAATATATCTTATATGATAAAAATATTTGGTAAAATTAGTTGATAAGCTAACTGAAATAAATTTTAACGAACTTATTTGAAAAACTACCCAAATAAGCTTATGAGATAAGCTCGTCCTTTTTAAAAGAGTTTGTCGTACCAAAGGAAACTTATTTAAATACAAGAAGCTTATAAGATAATCAAATAAGCTATATGATAGTCTATTTGTCTACCAAACATAGTCTATAGCGTATTACTGCAAGGCTTGTTGTTAGCGGTGGATTTGGGGTGTCGTCGGGTTATAGGCCTATAGTCGATGTTGACATGGTTGATTTGATAAATGGTTAGGTTAAATGGAGGGAGCACACAAGCGGTAAAGAAGATAAATAGTCGTCACTACAATGTGGGAATAAAGCATGTTTACCGATAATCTAATTGCTCTGTAGATCTTTTGGCTTCATTAGCGACTTCTAGTCCTTGAGCCTTTCAAAGGTTGGAGTTTTCGCCAACTGGGTTGAAACCATGTCTTGAGCATGATGTTATAGGGGTGACTTACAACTGCTTTTTCCACTTCCTCTCAATTAAAAAAAAAATAAAAAATATGTGAGTGGATAATAGATGAATTAAAGTTAATGTTTTGTATAAAAATAATTGGTTGTTATTATGTAATTATATGTATAAGATGAGGTATGTCAATTGCAAATGGAGCTGGAAGAGTCATTATTGACAATTCTCCTGGCATAGTGTAAATAATGGACTAAATCAAAATGTCCCATTTAAATTCTAGTGCTTCTTCTATTAGTGAAGTTTCTAGAAAAAATATATCAAACGACGCAATGCACCTTGGGTTTCTATGGAAACAATCTCCTTGTATAATTACAAGGGTAAGGTCTGCGTACAACTGACCCCCCAGACCTCAACCTGTTTGAGAATATATTGGGTATGTTGTTGTTGTTGTTGTTGTTGTTGTTGTTGTTGTTGTTGTTGTTGTTGTATGTATAATATGAGGAGAGTTGTGTTTGATTAAGTATGTGTTGAATTTTAAAATAAAGAATCTATAAAAATGTCCCTCCAATGAAAATCAATTATATTTTATAGGCCTATTTTTCTCACCAAGATAGCATAGGATAACATTTCTTAATCAACATTATTCGATGTTTACTAGCAGAGATTGAGATTGAGATAAATCTTATGTATCATGTATGTGGCATGCGAGCACACACTTATACTCGTAAATGACAGGATAATTCTATCACATCTTGAAATCCCAACACAAAAATAATATTTTTGTCCAAAAAAATCTCATATTTAATGTCCATTATACACTTGAAAGCCATGGAAGTCATTAATTGAACTTATGAAGGCTATAAGACTATCCTTATAGCAACCCAACCCAACTCAACCTAATAATTAAAAATTATTTCTCTCTCCTCTACATACACAACTCAATCTTTCAACTTAATTTATCGTTATCACCAACCCAACTCAACCTAAATAAATTTAATTAAAAATTGTAATTTTATTCTAAAATATATCAAGTGTGATCTCTATTTGTAGAGAATGAAAAAATATGAATTTTGATATTTTTTTTTACTTTTTTTAGAAACAAAAAAATACACTTGTACAATAAAAATGGAACAAGTGTCCCATAATTTTACTCCCGACCGGTTGTGACCCTAGGTCACATTGTGACCTGGGTCACCCATTTTTATTGATTTTTCTATTTTTTTTTACTTTTTGTTTGTCTTTTCCTGGCGACCCAAGTGCTTGGGTCACCGATAAACAAAGCATAAGAGCATTCACAATGCTTTAGGTTCAATCACAAAAAAATTGTATGACACATAAGAAATGGACCTAGACTACAAAAATGTATTCTCCGATGCAAACAAAAGTAAACTGGGTCCTGCTGATGTGGCAGCCAGAAAAAGAGACCCGATCTACCCTTAAGTCTATTTTAGGCCCAAGTAGAGATCTAGTCTCTTTGCATTGGAGTAAGTTGTATTAATTTTACATACTTTTATCCATGTCATCCAAGACTTGGGTTTACTTACATGCCACATAGGCAAGACTAGACCCAATGCATTGTAGATGCTCTAATTCCCACTAAATAAAAGACAAATATGACAACAATTATTGTGGACAAAGGAACATGTGAAGATGCTTTTATTGATTTGTGCAATCATCTTCTATATATCTAACATCCTACATGCATCAACCTTCTTGTCACTACTCACTTGATGTCTTGCTCTTTGACGCTAATTACTAACAAAAAAACAAAACACATTATGTAGAATATTTATTTAGACTTATGAGTGACATTCAAGATATTATATGTGGAGTGGATGGTAACATTTATTGACCACATTGTTTACATTTTATAAGATTTATTTAAATTTTTAAAAACAAAATTTATATACGAAATCTTACCCCAAATTCTCTAACATAAGATTCCAAACATTCATCTTAAATTTAAATTTTTTAAAACGTCTTATGTCCCTTAAACTCAAAATTATGCACTATCTTAAGCTACATGAGTTAGATCTATCATATTTTCGTATAACATAAATGGTACATAGTACTATATTTTTTAACCGAAAATCGAAAATTCAACCGAATCGAACCGAACCGATGAGAAATAAACCAAACCGACTTATGTGTCGGTTACCGAAATGTTATCAATTCAGTATCGGTTAATGTTTCGCCTTACCAAAGTTTTAAAAAAAAAGTTACTAAATTATGGTAAAAGAAAATAACTAATAGAGAAGTAATAGTATAACTCAACACGGCACTACAGTCCAAGTTGGAGGCCGAAGTTACCTGTCAATTCCAAACAGGAAATTCCCAATTTACCCTCCTAACAGAACCCCCCAAAATATCCGCACCGTTCGCTCATTCACCCATCGTGCAAATTGCACACGCAAAAAAACGCCTATATATACATATCAACAAGGCCATGGCCGCCCATTAATTTCTCCGCCTAACAACCGGTATAGAGAGAGAGAGAGAGAGAGAGAGAGAGAGAGAGAGATCTAGAGAGAGAGAAAGGAATAACCAAATTCTATGCAACCGAGGACGAAGGAGCCATCGGTTGTTGATATCAAATTCGAATCATCATCTGTTTGTTGCGGTGAATGCAGCTCCGGCGAGTGTTCCGATTATGATTATTAGGAACTTGTTTGATGATAACCTGCGCTGCGCGTCAAATCTCAGCCGCCTGGTTGCCGGCCTCTTGCTCTTCCTCCTCTACCATTCATCTCAATTGATTTCTAATTTTCCTGTTCCTATACACCCGTAAACTCGGTTTTTCTCTCCCTTTCTCCTTTTTATTCTTTCTGTTTGTTCGTGATTTTGGATATTGGCGCGCGGGGATCGGACTTTGGTTGTCCTTGTTCTTTTTTTTTTGTTGCTGGGTTCCGTGGTGCGGTTGGTGTTTTGAGAAGGTGAATTGAAGGTGTTTCAAGCTGCCGGTTGATGGAAGTGAAATACGGCATGGAAGTGATGTACGGCGGCGATGCGTTCTCGGGGGAGCCTCTCGATGGTTAGCTTTGTTTTGATTCGTTTTTTTGTGTTCTATGTTGTTATATGGAATTTTGCTTGTTTGATTGGAACTGGATTTTGTGGCTTTTCCCTTTTTGATGTGTGTTTGTGGCCGTGATTTAAATCTGTGAATTTGTTAGTTGTTTGTTGAATTAGAATAAGTGTTTGATTTGATTAGAAATTCCATTAGGCACATTAGTAGTTATAATATAATGTTTTGGTGATCAGTTGACTCCCTTTTGGCCAAGATGAGGTTTTATATTCCTACAGATAAATGGGGGCCAGGTATGATGTCACAATTAGAATGCTAGAACCGATGCTGTAGATTTTTGAAAACCGTGCCCTTTTTTATAAAGCTTAATTGGCATGTCTATTGTATGTGATGTGCCTTTGATTCCTTGTGTGTGGTTACTGAAACTCTGGACTGTTAAAAGTTTAAGAGAAAATGGTGTGATTCATCATTAATCAATTCAAATCCATCGGATTTTTTGTTTTTATAGTTGATCCTCTTGGTTTCTAGTGTTCCTTCCCACTTCAAGAGTCATTGTTCTAATTGTTCCAATGATGAGGGAAACCAGAGCAGCCTATTTTATTTTTTTTAATGAAATTCCAGAAATTGTATGTGGAAATACTTTGTTCTTTTCTCAATTTTTTTCTGTTGACTAGGCATTTATGCATCACTTGTTGAGAGGCAACATAATGGCTTGCCTTCTGTCATTGTTGTTGGCGGTGGTATATCAGGAATTGCTGCGGCGCGCATGCTTCAAAATGCATCATTTAAGGTTTGATATCTAAGCCACATGTAACTGATTTCCTCAATAGTGATAAAAGTTTTCTGTCTCTTATAAGTCATGATTAATTTGGGCTGTATGGGTCTTCTAGGTGACCCTGTTGGAGTCCCAAGACAGAATTGGTGGCCGCATTCACACTGATTACTCATTTGGTTGCCCAGTAGACATGGGAGCTTCATGGTAAGTTTCTTGGCTTAAGCATATTTTTCCAAATGAGAGATATTTATTTATTTATTTTGGTGCCTTTTGTTCTCAAGTTTTCCATTTATAATGATCCTACTCCATTCAAAGAAAAAAAATTATCTCTTATCCTAAAATGAAATTTTTCACGTGAAACTATCCTTATCCTGCCCATCTTAATTAGAAATTATATAGATATAATCTGAAATATTCCATTATTTCAACATGCTACTGAACTTTACTAATGTTTTGGTGATAAAGTCAAGTTCTTCTGTTTGGTTCGTAGAAGAGTTGCTGATCAATAAGGAAAATGTCCAACTTTGCATTATTCTAATTGGTTTTTTTATGTGTTAGATACAGCTGTCTGTATGATCTTATGTCTCCAGTTCTTTTTGTCTTCCTTTACAACACACAGGTTGCATGGTGTCTGCAACGAGAATCCATTGTCTCCCATTATACGTCGTTTGGGGCTCACTTTGTATCGCACAAGTGGTGATGACTCCCTTCTATATGACCATGATTTGGAAAGGTATACGGCTGTAAATTTTCTCATCTATTTGCTGTCACTCTCACTTTGTATCGCACAAGTGGTGATGACTCCCTTCTATATGACCATGATTTGGAAAGGTATACGGCTGTAAATTTTCTCATCTATTTGCTGTCACTCTGTGGAATGTGGAGGACTCTTACTGAAAACATGTACTACACAAGGACTTTCTTTATTTTGAGAGACTTAAATTTGCAAGAACATAAATGCAACTTTTCTTGATTGAGCATCATTGATTGGGAATCTTCAGTGCTGCGAGCTTTCAATTTTTATTATACAGTGGAATAAAGAGGCTGATATAAGAATGAGACATGGTCAATAAATATAGTACTATATGTTTTGAAGTTATTATGTTTCTCATGTTCTTTTATCTTGATATTTATTGATCCTGTTGGTTACATTCCCCTTTTTTTTTAGCTGGCTGCCCTCGACTCTCTCAAATTCTTCCTTTTTGTTTTACTGACTCTTCACAAGTCTATTTTTATTGGTTCTTTAATTTTCTGGGTATCTTCTTATTGCCTTTAGGTTTTCCTTTCTGTTTTTAATTCATATTGACCATAGTACATTCCACTTTTACATTTATAATTTACTTACTTTCATTTCTTTTCAATTCATTCATTGCAAATCATATTCCAATATCATTGTCTATTGTAAGGGTTATTAATTTATTGTCTTGTTCTTTCAGTTATGCTCTATTTGACGTAAATGGTCATCAAGTTCCCCAAAGTATGGTTATTGAAGTTGGAGTTGCATTCAAGAAAATCCTTGAAGAGGTAGTGTATTCTATATAGAATCTCTCTAGACACACAGTGCATTAGTGGTGCAGAAAAAACATATTGATAATATTTGTTCTCTTTGTAGACGGATAAAGTGAGGAATGAACAGAGCAATGACATATCTATTAAGGAAGCAATGTCAATCATTTTGGATAGACATCCAGAATTCAGGTAGCGTAAACACTGTCTGCTCGTCATAATATTCATCTGCTAAAAAAGAAGGTTATTGCTTATTATTGTAAATTGCTTATTATCAGACAAGAAGGCCTTGCACACGAAGTTCTGCAGTGGTACATATGTAGGATGGAAGCTTGGTTCGCTGCAGATGCAGACATGATATCTCTGAAAGCCTGGGACCAGGCAAGTTTGTTTCCATTTCTCTGTTTTGTTTTCTTGTTATTACTATTTTCTGTGAAGTGTCAACTGCTTCTACTTTGTTGCTATCAACTTTGAGTTGCAAGAGAGCGATCCTTCATTGAGATGTCAACTGGATGCTGATATGCACTTATTTTATTCTATAAAATGAAATTCATAGGAAAAACTAGTGATCTTAGTTCCTTCAATAGTCCAATGTTGTTTTCCCAAAGTTGTAACCTGTTCATAACTTCAACTATGCAATTGTAAAGTGAAATGTTCCACGACATCTTTGGATTTTCTTCCTTCCGTTCACTTTTTTTTTTGGTCTGTCATCTTATCAACAGTCAAACATATTGAAACTGGATGGGATTAACTAAATCCAGGAATTCTCAAAGCTTCCACACTTGCATGTTTTTTGTGTTTATCATGAATGCATTTCACTGGTTTAAGTATTAACACTACCCACGTAAATGCTGTCTTGTTTACCTTATTGTTTCCTGTGTGTTCAGGAGAAAGTACTTTCCGGTGGCCACGGACTCATGGTGCAAGGGTATGATCCGGTGATAAAGGCCCTGTCCAGAGATATTGATATTCGTTTAAATCACCGGTATGTCTGCACGTTTCATGGACAGAAATATTTCCTGATACCATAATTATCTTATTTGCTTCATCAAGCACGACTGTTACTCCTAATTGATTTGACAAACAGTTGATTTTAAATTCAACTTTTACTGTAAGATTTTACTGGAATAACAATTAATTTTCTTAATCTTGATTTACAGGGTGAAAAGAATCGTCAATGGGTATAAGAAGGTGATTGTAACAGTTGAAGACGGCAGTGAGTTTGTAGCGGATGCTGCCATCATCACAGTTCCCTTGGGAATCTTAAAAGCCAAGTCGATTGAGTTTGAACCTAAGCTGCCCGAATGGAAACTATCTGCAATATCCGATCTTGGCATAGGAAATGAGAATAAAATTGCTTTAAAATTCGACCATGTCTTTTGGCCAAACGTGGAGCTTTTGGGCGTTGTTGCCACCACTTCTTATTCGTGTGGCTATTTTCTCAATCTCCACAAGGCTACGGGCCATCCCGTTCTCGTCTATATGGCAGCCGGGGCCCTCGCTTATGACCTTGAAAAGCTCTCGGACGAGGCTGCTGCTAATTTTGCCATGGTACAGCTAAAACGAATGTTTCCAGATGCAACTGAGCCGGTAAGTTTAAAGTACTCGCTAAAAGAATTTCTTTTTTTAGCTACTATTGACCTTAATTTGGCATTTTATAGTATAAAATGAGTTCATTTAAGCTGAATGGAGTTTTTTTTTTTAATGAATGATTTTCATGACAGGTTCAATACCGCCTGTCACGCTGGGGAGCTGACCCGAACATCCTGGGCTCGTATTCGTACGATGCGGTTGGAAACTCGGAGGACATATATGACAGGCTGCGGGCCCCAGTGGGCAATCTCTTCTTTGGGGGTGAGGCAGTGAGTGTCGACCATCAGGGCTCGGTTCACGGCGCATATTCTGCCGGGATCTTGGCAGCCGAGAATTGCCAGAGGCACATACTGCAGAGGCTCGGGAGTCTCGAGAGAATACCACTCGTCGCCTGTCGGGAGGAAGCTGTCGAGGCTAGTGTTCCTCTTCAGATTTCCAGGCTGTAATCTAAAGGGCTTTGACTTTGTTTGGATGGATTTGCTTGATGCTGGCAAATGTGTTGGTAATGTTTACCTTTTTCTTTTTTTTCTGGTAATTTTAATTTTAGCAAGCAGAATGGGAAGGCATTGTTGCTTTGGCTTTGTTAAGTGATTGTTGGAGTTGCTATTATGTTGATGGATTTCGTGCTGTGTCACAGCTTAATTTGAGTTAATTAATAAAAAGCAGACAATGAATGTTTATGTAGTAGATAGATGTCTGAGAATTTCCGTGGATTTACTTCCACATTTCACCATGCACAAGTAAAATTAATTTTATATAAAATATACTCAATAATGAATAAACTATGCATAATCACGTTTTAAAAAATCTTATTAATATGAATAATATGCGAACTTTTTCTTTTTAAGCATAAACATTTTACAACTTTTGCATATTGTTACAGGGAAATACTACAGTTACGGAACCATTCAGTCGGGATTTGTAACCATTAGATCATTATGTAACCGTCGTGTATAGTTGATCTAACGGTTATAAAATCGACGGATTGGTTCCGTAATGGGAGTACGTTCACAATTTTCATCTAAAGATTGGTCATTTTGTTTGTTCAACTAAAATTTATCTATTTAAATTTAAATTTAAAAAGATTCAAAGAATTCTTTTATTTATCTTCTCAATATGTACATATTTTATATTTTCTATTCCTCATTCTTTGCCTATACAGACACCTCATTTTTACACTTCTCATGCACCAAACACCTCATTTTTACAACTAAAAGAATTATTTTTTTTATAAATGTACTATTTTTTTCTTGTGTAATCTTAATTTAAGTTATTTTGATTTTGTAGTGTTCTTTCATTATTATTGAGAATAGAATATAAAATTTATATTAAATAAATGGATAATGGGTCACATGTATGTATTTAAATGAATGTGTCGGAATGTGAGTGTGTGTTTAAATGGAGTGAGATTTAGTGGAAAGATGATGTGGAGATGAAGTGGATGAGAGAGAGTGTTACTTTTTGATTGAATGAATGAAATGTATGTTAAAGGAATGCAGATACCCTTATATACACTTTGTTCATTTGTTTGCAAGGATTGGGATAAAAAATTAATTATTACTGTATAACAAAGCGTGATAAAACATATAAAAAAAATTCTATATCGACAAATAACTTTCATACACGCTTGGGGTTAAACATGGCCATGGGACGCTTGGCCCGTCGACCCGACCCAAATTTAACAAGGCCGATTCAGGATCATGCATTTTACGGTTGAGATTTAATCATGAGGCAAGTTGGTCATTCAATCTTAAATATGTACATGCTGGGAACGATTAAAGTCCTGTTGACGGAATAGTTCCGTTACATCGTAGATTATCCACACAACATAACCTATTTTTCTTATCCAGTGGTGGAGGATCGTGGCAGCAAGGCTACTCTGCCGCTTACAATATCCCGTCGCGTATTTAAGTCGTCTGCAAAGGATTCTACCCGCCGCTCGATGGAAATTGAACTTCAAGGCGCCCAACGCGGCAAGTCCGCCGCGAGGGCTTGGCCCACGACACGTGCCCTTTTGGGGCCTAACGACCCCTACTGCTGGTCGACAAGCGGACGGCAGACGCATGCATCGCTTCTAGCTCGAATTCTGTGAATACAATCTAAATCCCTTAACGAGGATTCATTGGAGGGCAAGTTTGGTGCCAGCAGCCGCGGTAATTCCAGCTCCATTAGCGTATATTCAAGTTGTTGCAGTTAAAAAGCTCGTAGTTGGGCCTTGGGTTGGGTCGGCCGGTCCGTCTCGAGGTAGTTCCGTCACATTGTAGATTATCCACACAACATAACCTATTTTTATTATCCAGTAATGGAAAACGCTGAAGCTGAGGGACCTTAGCATTTTCATAACATTTTATTTTATAATTCCTTTTTAATTCGTTCAAATTGCCAACTCACCAAAAACACACACATAATAAGTTTTCAAAAGGGGCCGGCGCGTGACCCGTCACCACTATTTGGTCGGTAAGAAAAGTCTAATCCCAACTCCCCACCATTTCTCCCTTCTTCTATTTACCTCCGATCACACGTTTTCAGCTTCACAACAATTGCTCGTACTTTCTCTCTCTACACACCGCACAGCTCCTCACAGAGGAAGGGTTTCTACATTCCTTCATACACATGGCGAGCACGGGTCACAACAATCTCAACGCCAAGCTCGTGAGCCCAACTTTCCCTGTTTGCATTGTGTCATTTTTTTAGCTCGATTTTCGTGTACTGAGATCGATTTTTGCTTTAGGTATTGCTTGGGGACATGGGCGCTGGGAAATCGAGCCTCGTGATACGCTTTGTCAAGGGCCAATTCCTCGAATTCCAGGTAGGATTTTTTTCCTCATCTTCGATCCCCCGCCATGCAAAATCTGAGCTCAATTGATTGAAATCGCGTAAAGAGAGTTTTTGTATGATCGAGGATGATCCTGTGATAGCAGATCGTGTTAATGTTGATGATTGTGTTGCAGGAATCGACGATCGGGGCCGCGTTCTTCTCCCAGACAGTGTCTGTGAATAATGCGACTGTGAAATTTGAGATCTGGGACACGGCTGGGCAGGAGAGGTACCACAGCTTGGCTCCCATGTATTACAGAGGCGCTGCTGCCGCCATCATCGTTTATGATATCACGAGCGCGGTAATAGGGCACAATCCCAAATATGCATTTGCTTGGAGATTTGTGGGTTGTTGAATTTTTGGAGGTTCTTTCATTTTTTTCCAATTAATCATTAGACGTCCGTTTACTTGGGCAAGCCATTTTCAGTGATCCTGTGAAAACAACTTTGTCATTTCATTGTTTTGAGATATAATATACATTATTGTGTGTTTTTGTGTGTGTGGTGATATGTTTTGGTTTTATCATTTGATTGTCGGTCCATGATGCAGGATTCATTTGGACGGGCTAAGAAGTGGGTGCAAGAGTTGCAAAAGCAAGGTGCCTATGATTTATTAATTTATATTGATAGTAGCTTCATGTTAATTTTAAAAATTGAAAGAAGGGAAAGTGAAGTTTGATTCTTGTCATCCATCTGAAATAGACAAATGCAGTTTAGCAACATTGAATGTCCTAGGGAATCGATGAAGTTGTTGCGTTCCTTTTTTATTCTTTATTTATGTCATTATGACATGTGTTTTGCATCTTTTTCAGGTAATCCTAACATGGTTATGGCACTTGCTGGAAATAAATGTGATCTTGAAGATAAGAGGACTGTGACTGGGGAAGTAAGTATTTCTCGCTCCTGCTGGAGCATTTAGTTCTCGAACTTCAATTTTCATCAACTTTGTTTCAGTTTTCATGACTGTCGTAATTTTTATTTGAGTCAACCCTTAGGGTTTAGATCAGAATTAGAGGAAATTTCAATCATGAAAGAAATAAAATACCATAAACTTTGCATGATGTTTTTTCATGATGATTCCTGCCTAGCAAGCTTCCACAACTTAATAGCAATACTCATATTAACCCCAACTTAATGATAGTTAATTTCACATAAATATGACCTATTATCCTCTCCACCTACCAAGAGAACGAGGCACACTGACAGCAAATGCCTGAAGCATACCAACAACCTACAGTAAGAGCTGACTAATAATCAAGCAAAATATGAATAACAGTTAAAGAATGCCTGTGCCTATACAGCCTTTTCCCATTGTCTATCTTATTTGTGCAACAAGAAACTTTGACGCTATTCCCTCCCCAATCCCCATGCTAAAAGACCCTCCTCTCAAGGTGGAAATGTGAACTGAATTGGGATTTAGGGATACATTGCAGCGATCCATGTTGCTAAACTATTACTCATTCTTTAAATAGGTGTTAGAGAATAAACTGGAGCTACGTTATTACTCTTTTTGATTAATATATTGGTGGACCAATGCTTTTCTAAGAGTTATGTGAGGTAGCTTGAAATGAAGAATTTCCACATTGCCTATTAAGTAAGTGCGAGTTGTTTATAAACAGATTACATGCCATCTTTTACTTGCCACTTTGAGTTTTTAGATGGTTTGGGAAAAAATATAAATGTGATGTTAGATAAATAATTATTCACATTAATTGGGAGGATAGACAAAATTCTATTCCCCGTTTATTTGTGAAGTATAACAGTTTAGCTTGATGACATGTTTTTGGTTTATTTTGCTTATTATGGCTTTATATGCCGTTTTTTTTCCTAAAACATTTTCTATCTATTTGCTGCTTATATTTACGTATGAAATACCTTTATCTGAATTTACATAGTCTTGCTTCTAGAAAAGTATTTATTTGAGGCTGATTTTTGCTGCCTTCTCCATGTCTCAACTAATACAACTTTTTTCTACTTCAGAAGCGTGTATAAATTTAAAGTCAATTACCTGATTTCCAATTCCACCTCTCATATTTTTACACATGTAATAATGTCATTTATTTATTGTGTTCCCTATAAATGTGCTTCAGGAGGCCCGCACCTATGCTGATGAAAATGGACTTTTCTTTTTGGAAACATCTGCCAAAACTGCCGCTAATGTCAATGATATATTCTATGAAATAGGTATGTTCTTTTCTTTACTGTTAATTGCTTAATTAGACAGAAATGGAAAAGCGCAAACATGGAGACGGATATCTGTTGTTTGTCCTTAAAATTTGGTGGGAAATTCTCAAATAGAAAGAGAAATAGGAGGAGAAAGAATTACTGAGTAAGCTATAGCACCTCTTGATTCTGTTGCGGATATCTGTTGTTTGTCCTTAAAATTTGGTGGGAAATTCTCAAATAGAAAGAGAAATAGGAGGAGAAAGAATTACTGAGTAAGCTAACACCTCTTGATTCTGTTGCATCTGACCACTATCAAAACGTAGGAGTCCTTTAATTTAGTTTTCATCCTGGGCATGGATCATTTCTGGTGGCAACAAATCTGTTGGTGGTATCTTGTCTGCCTGACTTCAGGCTGTTTCTTGTGACTTCATTGAAATTAGAGATGGTATTTTGTTACAAATAGTGCAAAGGGAGTGGCTGCCCAACCCACACTTATGCACAATAAGAGCCCAATAACTAATCAATGTGGGATAAATGGACCGGGTCTAAAGCAAACATTGGCTCCAAACAAACAAAATCTGGATGCTCTGATACCATGATAAATGGGCCTGAGTGAACTCATCCCCAAAAGCTAGCTCAAAGAAGGAGGGTGCCTAACCCACACTTATACACAATAAGAGCCCAGTAACTAATCCATGTGGGACAAACACAACTTTTAACATATCTGAACCAAGCATCCCAACTGTCGCATGTCTTATCCTTTGCAGTCACTTTATGGAAATTACTGATGATTGATGGTTTTGATGTGTATATGGAATCACTAAGAAGATTATATTTGTTTTTGCAGTGCAACACCATATGTGCTATTTTTTTTTAACAATAGTAATAATAATATTATATATTGTTATTAAGAATATTTCTAATTTTTCAGTCTGATATTTACAGCCAAAAGACTACCTAGAGCTCAACCTACCCAAAACCCAGCAGGAATGGTTCTCGTCGATAGACCTGCTGAAGGATCTCGATCTGCATCATGTTGTGCTTAAGCACTAATTGACTCAAAGTACGTGATTCTTCACATATGTTTACGTGTCTCTCTGGTGTCTCTCGTTTGCTGTATAACATAAACCTAGGTCGTTGAGTTGAAAATTATATCTGATAGCGGATTTATTTAATGATTTTTTATGCTTCTTTAAACAGTAATTGCAGATTGCTTTTTGCTGTTTGTAAGTTTTGATCAGTGAATATATTATAGAAAATATGGATCAACCATGAAATGATCATGAAACCAAAATGTGTAAAATTTATTTCAAAAGCTAGAAATCTCATAATAGGGCTGCCCAGCTCTCAACTGTGCAGAAAGGGTATAATTGGCTGGAAATGATATATTATGAGCATGATAACCACAAAGGCCTAGCCTACTGGTATTGGAGTCTTGTTGTGCGCAGAGGTCAGGTGTTCGAATTTCTTAGGGTGCACGAGTTGGAGGCCAATTTATAAGAGCATTTTGAAAAAAAAAATTATATTATGCACATCATGTCAAATGAAGCTATTAAAGTAATGATGACACTGGGTAACTTCTATATCGGGCTATGAGATAACTCAGCAGAATTTCCTCCTAAATTGAAGAGTTAGAGATGAGATTTATCATTCAAGGACACATCAAATATTAACAACCAACGTAATTGAAGTTGTTTTTCATCTATGCAGATTGCCATCTATGTACTCTGATTAAAGGATATCAATTAATCTATTGCATGAACTCTACATCAAAATATTGAAGATGAATCTATCTCACAGATTTAGTGAATCATTAATTTAGCTATTTGTACTGTAGTTGGGACTGACCAAAAATTCTTATTCAAAAGAGATTATTGTTTAGCTAGTATCAGATTAGCGTCGTCGTACTTGAAATTGAGATGGCTGGTGGATCTTAGATATAAGATTTCTGAAATGGCACATCTGCTGCACTTGTCAACTTTCTTCGAATGCCATTATTTGGATAATTTTTTGATAACACAATTCTGAAAACAGGTGCTTTTCCCGGTATGTCCTCATCTCGGTAGATGCTGCAGAGCTTCGTGCCCGAAGTGATTATCTTGGTTATCTGCTGCTTCTCGTTCGAAGATGTAAATAATTAGCTTTTTTTTTTTTTGGTGTGTGTGTGTGCACCTGAGTGTTTTAAATCGTAAAAATTGCACGCAAAGACAACTATTGTATCACCGGACCTGTGGTTTCAGAATCAGATGTAGCGCACTCTTATCTCTGTTTGTAACAACTAATGTGTTGGGCAAATTTATTTACTTCGGCACCTATGATATTATGGGCGACTGCTAAATGTCACTGAGTATTTTTATGAAACACACTCGTTATTTGGATATACTATACTAGATTTGACTTTAATTAAGGCTTGTGCTATAACAACTTCATGTAGACCAAGAGCTAAGGAAGCTCCCGTTTCACTAATACACCGTTCTACATTATTCATGTGGGATCAACCAACACTTACAAACATAACAGTTACAACCATATATAGCTCACAACATGATCACATACGAGACATAGCGAAAATCTGCTCCTCGTGATTTTGACGACCGTAGAGATCTTCCATTGGCAACGAGGGCATGACAGAAGGCCTAATATTGATAATCTCGTGATTTTTCTCGGATGATGCAGACTTTGACACGTTATCCAAGTCCCTAGCCAGAGCCCTTAGTTGAAACTTCTGTACCTTCCCAGTAGACGTCCTGGGTAGCTCCTCCACAAACACCACCTTCCTCGGCACCATGAACCCCGGCAGCTTCTCCCTACAGTGTCGCACGATCTCCCCCTCGTCCGCTCCCTTCTGTAGCACCACGAACGCACACGGGCTCTCCCCCCACCTCGCGTGCGGCATCGCCACCACCGCCGCCTCCCCCACCGCCGGGTGCTCGTACAACGCCGCCTCCACCTCCACACTGCTCACGTTCTCCCCTCCTGATATGATCACGTCCTTACATCGGTCCTTGATCTCCATGTACCCGTCCGGGTGGACCACCCCCACATCCCCCGTGTGCAGCCACCCGTCCCCCCTTCCGAAGGCTGCCCGCGTGGCACCCTCGTTTTTCAAGTACCCCTTCATCACCCCGCTCCCTCTCACCACGACCTCCCCCATCGTCTTCCCGTCCCGCGGCACGCTCCTTGAGGAACTCTGCGAGACCACGTCCACGTCAGCCACCGTCAGTACACTGATCCCCTGCCTCGCCTTGAGCCTCGCGCGGTCCGCGCCCCCCAATCGGTCCCACCTAGCCTGCCACTCGCAGACCAGGGCAGGGCCAGTCGCCTCCGTAAGGCCGTACGCGTGGGTCACGCGAAAGCCGAGCCCCTCGGCCCGCTCGAGTAGGGCGGCTGGGGGTGGGGACCCACCCATCAGGACCTCGACGAGGGCAGGGATCCGACGAACGTTTTTTTCTTCTAGAAGGATGTTGAAGACGACGGGGGCGCAACACATGTGGGTGACCTTGTGGAGGGAGATGGTGTCAAGTATGTCGTTGGCGGTGGTGGAGCGAATGCAAACGTTGGTGCCGCCGCGTGCCGCCACACCCCACGTGAAGGTCCAACCGTTGCAATGGAACATAGGGAGGGACCACAAGTAGACGGGCTCCGTCCCCATCCCCCACCCGAGGATCAGACTCAGAGTGCTGAGGTAGGCACCGCGGTGGCTATAAACAGCGCCCTTGGGCTCGAACGACGTGGTCCCGGATGTGTAGTTGAGAGTGATCGGGTCCCACTCGTCTGACACCACATTCTCAGGGGCGTGGGATGGATTGCCGCGGAGGACGAGGTCCTCGTACTCGAGGGGCCCGAGGCGAGCGCCTGTCGGGGCAGCGACATCGTCGACGACCGCCACGAGCGGCGGGGAGGAGCCAGCCGGGAGGAGACGAAGGGCGTCACGGGCCACTGGGATGTATTGGTGATCGACGAAGAAAAGCTTGGTCTCCGAGTGGCGGAGGATGGTGGCTACACTACGGGCGTCGAGCCTCGTGTTGATGGCATTGAGGACGGCCCCGGCCATAGGCACCGCAAAGTGCATCTCGTATAAGGCCGGGATGTTCGGAGCCAGCACGGAAACCTGGGAGAGAGGAATATATTAGGTTATATCACATATTGTTGTGTGACGACTCGGCCTAAACCCTGGTCGATCGATTATATATACTTTTGAAACAAAAGTGCATGTGTATGTTACGACGATAAATAAATATGTTACGCACGACTTCATTCTTGGCGATGTTGAGAGACTTGAGGGTGGAGGCAAGGCGGCAGCATCTCTCGTAGGTCTGCCGCCAAGTGAAAGAGACGGTGCCGTAGATTATGGACTTTCGGTCGGAGTACACGTTGGCAGCCCTCTTCAAGAAGGTGAGGGGAGTTAAGGGAACGTAGTTTGCTCCACATTTTGGTAATTTATCCATTGAAATTCAAGTATTTTGGATTTTAGATAACTTTTTTGGGAGAGGGAGGTTATAATACTTGAAATTTGGACTAGATTGGCTCAAGTCTTGTTACTTCACTTGTTTGCAAATGGAAATTGAGGCATATATATAGAGGGACAACACATACAACACAGAGATATAGATGGGGACGTGTTGGAAGTTCACATGGAACTTACAGTGACATTAAAGTTTCTCTTATATGCACTCAAAATTCAAAAACTAAATCTAAACATATGTATACTATTCACTCTCTTCCAAATTCATTACAATTAAGATTTTTTTTTGGCCTTTAGGCTTTAACGTTAGAAACATTGGGCGTGTTTGGTTGGATATCAACTCATAAAAAAAAAAAAGAAAAAAAAAAAACTCAAAACTCAATAAAATTTAACCCCACTATACAATATTAATAATATAATTAAATAATACTAATAAATTATTTTGATATATCACATCAATTTTAAATATCCATCGTTTCACATCGTTCATCTCATACGTACTTCTACTTCAAATCAATTTTAATTGTTTTATTTTAAATATTATTTTAATATAAATTTAAAATTCTACTAATAACTAATCATATTATTTTTTTTCTCAGAATTAACTATAATAATTAAAAAAAAAAGGAAAATCAAATCAAATTCATACCTAACAAACACCCTACAGAAATACAGGAGTTTGAGTGGTCGATATCAGCCTTTGTTTTATGTTTCACCAAATCCGTGAAAAACATATATAATTGAGATAGGACAACCTTTTCAATGTGGAACCATTATTTGAAATCGGCCAACGTGAACCACAATTCCTTGATATTCTTCCTAACAAGTAGGGTTGTAAACGAATCGAATCAAAGCGAATACCCAGAGATTCGATTCGATTCGTTTAAAATATTCGAAGCTTCGATTCGTGATTCGATTCGATAACGGATTCATTTTTTGATTCGTATTCGATTCGTTTAGAATATTCGAACATATTCGATTCGATTCGAAATTCGTTTTCAAAAAAATATTATAATTAAAAAATATTATAATTACAAAAATAAATTTTATTTCATATATTTTAGAAAATTTTGTCAATTTATGATGTTTTTACTTTTTATGTCATAAAAATATTAGGAATATAACAATATATATATACATATATTATAAGCAAAATGTATATTATATATAATTTGTATAAAAATATTATAATTACAAAAATAAATTTTATTTTTCATATATTTATAGAAAAAATTGTTAATTTATGATGTTTTTACTTTTTATGTCATAAAAGGAATATAACAATATATATATACATATATTATAAACAAAATGTATATTATGTATAATTTGTAAAATTTATATAATTATTGTTAACGAATCGAATATTCGAATTTCGAATCGAATATCTACACATTCGAATTCGAATTCGTTATAATTTCGAATCTAAAACATCATTCGAATTCGAATTCGAATTCGAATATTTCGAATTCGAATCACGAATATCGAATTCGAATCACGAATCGAATCAAAAATGTTTGATTTGTTTACAACCCTACTAACAAGTGCTTCTATGTTTGGTAGTGAATAATAATAATATATGAATTAATGTTGAAAGTTGAAAAAAAACATTAGGGGAAGCATTTAATTTATTTCATAAGGCTTAGAGAAAATAGTTTCCAATTATGTTTGGTTGCAAGAACTTACATATATATAGAAGAAACTCTTTTAAGACATGGTTTATTTTGTAAAGCTTACCATAAATATTTCTTTGAAGAATGGTTAATTAAGAAAGTTGGAGCTAGAATTCGATCACTCAGAACCGTACCAAAGAATAGAGACGGTTCGGTTCAGAGATTTTTATTTTTGGGTTCGGTATTTGGGACTATCAAAACTGTTCAGTTTGGATCTTCAGAGGTTTTGATTTTTTTTTTTAATGACTACCTAGTTATGTTTAATTTTTATTGACAAATTTAAATAAAGTTTAAATAT